AGGCTAACTTCACCTTCCTTTTGAAAATTTTGGCATACAAACACTGGGGCAGAACAGCTTGTGTGAATACTCAGCAGTGAGAAGACTGATCTCTGCACATACAAATTAAACCCAACACCTTTAAGGGAAGAGACAGATACAGAAGGAGGGGGGGAAAAAAGTCCCAACACCGGAGTCCAGGACGAAAGTCTTCATGCTTTCCAGAGCCAGGAGTATTATTACAACCACAATTAGATAACTGAAAAAAAAAAAAAAAAGCTGCACTCCTTTCCAGCATCGAGTTCTACTGGAATACAGGGGGGAAAAATGTGCTTTCTTTGGTTAATGTTCAGTACCATGTAATTCCCTCAGTTTTGATGCTTGACTGAACTTGCATCAAGACACTTTGAAACAGCTAAGCACATCTTTTCATCTCAGATTTCTTCCTCCAGACAAAGAACACAGGAAGATGACAGGCTTGCTAACATCACGGTAGCACGAAAGAGCTGACAAGCTCCCTAACGAGCATGACTACTGTATGTATTTGCCTTTCATGCTGTAATCGGTGGTAAGAGGGAGAATGCTTGATACTTATGGTAAGGAACACAAAGACAGAAAGCACAGGAGATAACCCAGGAAGATTAACATCAACGTACAAACTGCATTTCTGTGAGAGCCATTTTAATTCTCTTCAAGCCCTTCCTATCCTAAGCTTCTTGGAAAAAGATGCACAGGAAAAAAAAAAAAAAAAACAACAAACCTGGAAAGAACTAGGATGTATGCACGGTACTAGAACTAACTCACTTCCGCTGACTTTCAGGGGACTGAAAAGAGGGGATGCTTCAAAGGGAAGCAAACGCTAAGTTTGGTCACCAAGCTGTAAATTCTGCAGGAACAGCTTCCTTTCTTTCCTGTTTCTCTGTATTTATATTAACCCATGATAACAATATCTGGATTCCAAGATGACAGCTGATAAAAATCACTTTCAAAACACAGATAACACATCCCCGACTATCTGCAGTAAAACTACAATTTCATTCCCTTCCCTGCTTTCTGTCTCTCCTTTTGAAAACAAGGAAGAGAGTTCAGCATGCATCACCATCTGACAAGGATCCTATTCAATAGCGAGCACCTCCTGTTACTAAGAAAACACACCCATAAAAATCTACGTTTGCACGCAAATGTAAACCAAAACAAGGGAAGCTCCTCATCTCAGAAGATCTCATTCTATTACTTTGTGGTGCGAATCATTTAGAAGAGGGAATGAACTGCACATGCAGTGAACAATGTGCTACATCACACATGACAGACATAAGCACATTTGTTTGTTTACGTACACCTGGAAAGCCAAACCTCCCACCTAATATTCCGTCCTACATTCCGAGTTTTTGTCATACAACTCACAGATATCTTCTATTCCCCCACAACTCTCATTTCAAATGTACGTTACTTATGTTTTAAAGTTTTAAAAGAAACTCGAGCCCCAGGGATTACTCAAACACGCATGCAGCATTTAAACTGAGTTTCTGAACGGTAACTTAGCATGCGACAAGTCAGTAGCTTTGCATGTTCTCCCTGTCTGAAAGACGAGTTAGCAGGGAGGTGGTTTCACTCGTTTAGGAGGAAAGCGGCCACCAAGCCTACCCACTCTGGAGCCTGAGACGAGCTGGCACGGGCTATGTGCTCCCAGCAGGCCTCGTCTCCCCGGCTTGGATCAGGGTGGACTGCCTCCGGCCCGACACCCACAGGAAAACACAGGGGCCCCTCCAGGTAAACACAGGGCCCCCACGGCCCGCGCCTGCGTGGACCCCAGCAAGAGGCGGCCTGCTGAGGCTTGGAGCCCAGCCCTGCC